CAGAGTTAGTGCTGGGAAGCTGAGGAGAGAGATATTTGACTTTTGATTTCTTCTATTAAAAAGGAGAGATGCTAAGAATGAGGTGCCAAGTGGAAAGGTCGGAATTTTGAGGAGACAAAAAGGTCCTAACAGAGATTGTTAAATGTTTTTTTCTTCTTCTTTTTTTTTTTTTTTTTTTCCAGTCAAGGAAAGCCCCAGAGCCAAGGGCTTTGGGCAGGAGGCCACATTGTGGGCCAAGGAGGTGGTGGAGGGGCCTTATTTGACCTTCTTCTTGGGACGTAGGTTGTTTGTGTGGCCACACTTCTTCTTGCGGTAGTTGACAGCATGGGGATGCAGGTGAGCGTAACACTTGCGGCAGATCATCTTGTCACAGTTGTACTTCTGGGCAAGCTCAAGTGTGATGGTCTTGCCCGTCAGGGTCTTCACAAAGATCTGCACCTCTGCGTCTGCTGGGAGGCTGCTCCGCCGCCTCGTTGACGATTGTTAAATGCTTTGAGCCATGCATCCCTCTGGGCTTTGCTGGGCTACTAGGGGGATGCAGGGCACAAAATGTTTAAGAAACCCTGATGGATTTGTTCTTCAGGAGTTTTGGTCTCTTAAGGACAGGAGGAGTCAGCTGAGGTTTCATTTGAGTATTCAGGCTCTGCAAAAGAAGATAGTGCATATTGCTAGTGAGGTGGTACAGGAATGAATGGTAGTGTACGCTGTGTGTGCCAAAGGTGGTAGATAGAAATTTTGTGGTCTGCAGCTTAGTCTCCAGGAGTTAAGGTGGTACACCATTTACCTTGGTTGTTTATAATCCCATATTAGCATTCACCTTGAAATCCTTCTGGTGAACAGCTGCAAAGAAGATTGTTCTGGGGCTTTGATGCTTTTACTGGTAGTATGTAATGAGTCTTTATATAAGCTAACTGTTCTAGGTAGACGCTCTTTCTAAAGATTCTTTTTAGGAACTAAGGAATTTTCAGATTTTAAGTCCAGTTAAAACACACACACACACACACACACACACACACACTTTCTTAGGAAATGCAGGATTATCTTAAAACTCTTTGAATGATGGTAAAAGATGTTCTTCTCTAGAATAAAAAGGGAGAATTTATGCCAGTGATTTTAGTAGGTTCCAAGTTATTGGTTTACGTGTTTTACTTGGGGTAAGACATACTGCATTATTTCCACATTCACTTTTAATAGTGACTGAATTGCTTCCATTAAATGCTTTGTATTTTCATCAGGTTTCTACTATTTTTCTTCAGCACTCAGTCCAGCTCACATAAGGGCTCTTGATTGTTTTTTTCAACAAGTAATTATATTTTAGAACTCTTGGTTGTTTTAAGTTGTTTTATACAGAGATAATAGCCCTCAAGTAGCTTTTGCTGTAGTGATTTAATGAGAAAGGGAGGAAGGGAGAGAGTTTTAGACTTAATAGGAAGACTTGCTGTTATGTTTTATGACTGACAGTGCCACACATAAAATGCAGATATAATTTTCCTACAAGTTTAGCAGTTCAAGGATAATCTGATGGATAAAACATATTGGGCATAAAAATATTAGAAATACCACATAGGTAAGATTTCTCTTTTGTCTGATTCTGAGACCTCCTTTCTGCCCTTTCTCCCCCGTCTTTGTTCCCTTCTCCTCCTGCTCTTCTTTCTTCTAGTGGCTAAGATGTTTTTCCTTTTTATTTTTTGCTCCTTCTGTATGATCGTGCTCTCTCTTACTTGAATGGTGCTCAATAATATATCTTTAAACTCATTAAAAATAATAGGCACTGAGCCAGGCACTGTTTTAATAAGCACTTTACAGGAATCAATTTAATCCTCATAGCAATCATATGAAATATCTCATTTACAGGTGAAGATACTGGGCACATACAGAGGAGATGAGATATGATCCAAGAGGGTTTGACTCTAGAGTTCATGTGCTTTATCATTACACTGTGCTACCTTCCAACCATTGAGTTAATAGCCAATATAGTAGTTTTGACAGTTTTCAATGAACCAAAATAATCAGCTTATCCATTAGTACTAGATATGTTTAATATCTAAGCATTTATTTTAATGGTATTTGTTTTAATGGCTGGTAACGTTTACAGTCAGTATATCTAAAAGAAAAATTTTATTTTATGGCCATACATTCTCAACTGAAAATTGCACCTTACAATTATCTGCTGAAGTTGCCTGTATCAGTCAATAGTTTGTTAGTACTCTCTTGAGAAAAGGGGAACGAAACAAGGAAACAAGTCACTGTCCTAGGCTTCTGTCAGTAGGTAATTTTTGGACTGCAGTGCAGGAAGGGGGGACCTCAGCAGAAAGTGGTCAATTTTGTTGATTTAAGGAGTTAGGGACCCAAGTCCAGGGAAGCCCAAGTAAGTTGGAATTTGTGGAACAAAATACCTGAAGAGAGAGAGATGTAGAAAGAGAGCTCCACAAATGTGGTTAAGGGTTTGCCTTGAGAGTTTGGGTGAATATTAATCTGTGACTGTGTAGGGTGAAATGCCATAATGGAAGATGTGTAGGATTTCTGAAGAAAGCAATTACTGAGGATTAACATGAATAATTTCTGGTGCTTACACAAGGTCAAGGATTGTTTGAATTCTCTCCATGTGGATTGAGAAACTTCATTGACTACGTGGGCAATTCAGTAGAGGGGTAAAGTGTGGGCTATATTAGCTTTGAAATGGTAGTAGTATTCTAGTACTAACCTGAGAAAGCTTCAGGCTAATATGCAAGTAACTTACCTGTTTGCTTGGGGGAAAAAAAATCGTTAAAGCAATGTTTCTCAACTTTGTCAATGATGACATTGAGGCTAGAGAACTCTTTGCTTTGGAGGACTATCCAATGCATAAATAGAATGTTTACAAATGTTCCTGATCTCTACCCACCAAATGTCAGTAGTAGTCTTCAGTTGTGATAACCAGAAATGTCTTCAGACATTGCTTCATGTCCTGCAGGGGGCAAAATCACCCCAGGTTGAGAATGAATGGTTTTTAAAGAATTGCGACAAAATGTAGCACTCAACAGCCAAAAAAAAAAAAGTTATAAGCTATAAAGATGTAGGAAAATGCGCATTATCTGGAAGAAAAATTAGTTACTAGAGAATCAGAAGTGGTGGAATTAATAGACAAGATATTAAAATAGCTATAGTAAAAATGCTCAATGTGCTCAAGGATGTAATGGAAAACTTAATGAGTGAAATAGAAGATAGAAAAGAAACCATGCGGAACTACTAGAGATAGGAAAACACAACATTTGAAATGAATCCTTTTATGGGAAATTTTAACAGTAGACTAGTCAATGAAGAAAAGATCATTGAACTTGAAAATATGGCAATAGAATCTATCAAAAAACACAAAGAGCATAAAGAATGCAGAACATTTTATCAACTTTATAATTTTAAATGGTCTAACGTTTGTAGCCAGAGTCTTCAGAAGGAGAGGAGAGAGGAGGTGGACAGAAAAAATATTCAAAGAAGGAATGCCAAAAATTTCTAAATTTGGTGGAAACTATAAATCCATAAATCGAAAAAGGGTAGCCACACACAGAAGGATTGCAAAGGTACACCATAATCAAGTCCTGAAAATAAGCAATAAGTGAAAAGTCTCAGGAGTTAAAGGAAAAAAGGCATATCAAGTAGAGAAGAATTAAAATAAGAATCCACAGATTCAAAAGATTCAGAAACTATGTAATGCACAAGACAGTGTTTCTTCAGAAACCATGTAAGTCAGAAGACACTAGAAGGGCATCTTTGAAGAGCTGAAGGAAGAAAACTGGTCAACCCAGAATTCTGTTTTCTTTGAAAATACTCTTCAGAGTAAAGGTGAGATAAAAGAATTTTCAGCCAAACAACAATAGTTGATAGAATTCATTGCCAGCAGACCTACAGTCTAAAGAATTATCAAAACGAAGTTCTTCAGGAAAAAGAAAAATGACACTAAGATGGAAACTTGGATCTGTATAGTGGATTGAAGACTGGCAGAAATGTAGATGAATATATGCGTAAATATAAATCACTATTTTCCATTTTAAAATTCCTTTAAAAGATAATTGACTCTTTAAAGTAAAATAACGTATTATGGGAATCAAAGTTTATAGAGAAGAAAAAATGTATGAAAATAGCCCAAACACAGAAGTTGTGAAATAGATGTTCCTGTTGTAGGGCTACCATTTTTATATTACCCGTTGTTATTCTTACTGTTAAACTTCAACAGACTCTTTTATCTTTTAGTTCAATGAACTGACATTATGTATTTTTCGCCATCCCTCACCCCCATTCTGAAATGTCCCTGGAATTTTCTTGAATGATTTACTCCAGAACTTTGTTTCTTAGATTATAAGGTCCTTCGAGAATCTGATAAGAACTGTTCTGCTTTTACCCAGAAAAATGAACTGAAAAAATAACCTACACAGTTTTCCATGGGGTGTTTCATGGACTCATTAAATCCTCTAAATGAGAACTTAGAAACAACTGTTTTACCTATGTAATATTAAACTGTATTGTAATTTAAGATTTCGTTGACTGCTTCAAATTTAGACTTAAGTTACTTCGTCTGCAAGTTAAAATGACAGGATTTCAACCGTTGACTTTTTAAAGTAAAAAATTTGCTGATATTACCAGTTTTTATATTTCAAAACTCACCCTTTGATTAGATTGAATCATACAACTTTTAAAAATGATTAACTTTATCTCTTTAACGTTCCAGAGCTGTAAATTTAACATGCTCTTGTGAAAGATCTTGTATAATGGGATTCCCTGGATTTATTAATTAGCATTTTACTAATTAAAAATACATAAATTGTTATTGTTTTACACAACATCCAGAAAAAATCAGTATAAAGTGCATCTTAACTTTTGCATAGATATTTTAGTACTCAGTCATTTAATTTATTTTTATTCTACTGTTTCTTATTAGCAGGTATAGAGTGTAAACACTATAGAAGAGAATTGTCAAATTTTCATATTCTGAGTGTCTGTCTTCAAAAAACAAATTATTTTTTCAGAAACTGCTTTGACTGGACCTGCCTTATCTGTACCCTCTCTGGGAAATGGGAATGAAACTGCACCTGGATCAGTTACACAGCCAAAGAAAATTCGAGGAATTGGATTTGGAGATATTTTTAAAGAAGGCTCTGTGAAACTTAGGACAAGGACATCCAGTAGTGAAACAGAAGAGAAAAAACCAGAAAAGGTAATTTTGATGAGGAACTTTAGTTAGATTAACTCCACTCATTAAGATTTAAAAAAAATGTAAGTCCCTGCAACTTTAAATTTCTTTTTTGAGATCGCAAGTAATTGGTTATGAATGAGAAGACTGAGAAACTCTTTTCACGTTTATAGTGATGAATGTTTATGTTTGATTTCTATAAAATTAGAATGTCTTTGATAAATTTAACACAACTGCCTTTTAGTGGAAGCTTTAGACTTTTAGTTGTCGTAGTTATAAAAATAGAAAAAGCAAGACTTTCTTTTGCCTTTAAAAGCAAGTTTTTTTCTTTTAATTTGAAGTAAGCCTAAAATGGGCCATTTTAAAGTGGATTCACAGTGAGAAATTAATTAGGCACTGCTTAACTTACCTCTGGTTTGTCAGCAATGGTGAAATCTAATTCCCTCTAAATGTACAGAGAACTTTATTTTTCTTTAGTATTTTACTGGCATTGTGAAATAAATCAGAGTGAATGTGCCATAAATTATAAGCTCTAGTAAGAGATTTTAAAAATAGACCATAAGTTATTATTTTGGGGAAAAATAGCTACAGTCTTTAGAACATTTATTTTAAAGCTATTGTTCTGGTGGTAACATTTTGCAGCTTCAGATCGAGCACTTCAGATAGGAGGCTTTTCCCGTAACTTTCAGAGTATTCTTTCCTTTGTACTTCTCATTTGTGTCTTTATTTAACTGAAGAGTTTAAGGTATTTCAGTATTTACTTGCCTAGTTTGGCTATATTTCAGTTATAAGACTGTTTTTGTTGGTGAAATATTTCTGGAGTTTTCTCCTACTAAAGTGTTTAGTTTCAACATTTTTTTTTTCTTTCCTAGCTTGCTACATGTTTTCTCATGTAATTATGATTTAAGTTCAGGAAAGAGAACTTATACTTTGTACCCTACCCTTCTAGCTCTGAGGCAGTCTGGCATTAAGATTATGGGGCCTAATTGATTCTTGGTTTTGAAGGTAAAGATTGTGGTTTTTGGAGTGGTGCTGTAAGCCATATAACAGCTAGGAATGTTGGAGAAGCAATGTCTGCATTAGGAGGCACATTTGATTAGACGATCTGGCGCCCCTTTCTAACTCTAAGGCTTATGACTGTGTTGAATAACTTTATTTTATTAATGGCTACACCAGTAATCTTTCATTTGCCATTTGTGTTTACTATTCCAGAGTTGTTAAGAGTACTCTCAGTGTCACCCTCTGTGATGGCCTTGTGAGGCTTGCTTTGATCACTGATTTAGGAATTGATCAAGCAGGGAGCACATTTACTGTTTATAGGTGACCCCAAATTGGAAGATATGGTGGTTAGAGTGGGAGAAATTAAAGTGAGTATGTTAAAAGATAAACAACACACAGTGAAAGTAAGGTAACGAATGGTATGTTCATATTTTTAACTAATGAAATCTAAGGTCAAATACAGTGTTATTTTGGGGGCGAGAACTCAAGAAACAGTATAAGATGAGGAAGGATAGCTGTAGTAACTTACAGTGGAAAAGTGTCTCCTGGACTATAGTTATAATAAGGGTTATAACATTATGTAAATATTTTCATTCAGATAGCAGCAATGAAGTATCAAGACTTTTTCTTCTCTATTTCATTGTAAGGAAGCTGAGTGATGTTGTTTAAGAGCCCACTTTCTGGAGTCATACTTTCCAGGTTTAAATCTGGGTTCTACTACTAAATTACTGTTATCATGGGCAGGTTATTGAACTGTTTCCTAATCTATAAAAGGTGTAAATGATAGTGCCCATTTTCTGCAGAGTGTTCTGTGGATTAAGTTATAATGTATGAAAAGTTCTGAGCTCAAGGATTGATACATAGTAAATTTTGAAATGCTATTATCATTTATGTTAGAGATTCTAAATTTAGAGTATTTGTTATTGGTATCAGGATTTATTAAAATTGGGAGTTTTAAAAGTTCTGAGCTATCATTTAAGTAGCTTTTGAGATCTTTATCTTTTTCATGGCAGAGTTTTCATTCACATTGCTAACCAGGCTATAAAGACCATGAGGGAAAGCTGGATAACTGTAAATGGAAATTTCGTCTAACAATATTATATGTATTCTTAACTTAAAATAGTTGATGCCATCCTTCTCTGTTCTAGCCCTTAATTATACAGTCACTAGGATCCAGAACTCAGAGCGTAGAGATAACAAAAACAGACACTGAAGGTAAAATTAAAGGTAAGTTATTTGAATAAAATTTTCATACCTGGAATGAAGCATGCTCAAATATATTGTTAGATTTGTTGAAGACATTTGTTAACATTATACTACTTGATCAGCGTATTAAATCCTACTAGATATAAACACCATGAGGTCAAGGATTTTAATATGCTTTGTTCACTGATGTATCTGCTCCCCCAGCAGTTAGAACTGTGCCTAGAGCATAGTGGTCACTTAGTAACTATTTGAATGAATGATTAATGAAATTGTTACCTAATTCAATGTACAATATTGGCTGAAAATGTTAAATTCATTTTAACAGCTTCTAGTGTACATTTCTTTGCACAAAATAGAGACTTAGTATTTGTTGAAGGAATCAATTTATATAAGCTACATTATTTACATTTTTTTATTTTAGCTAAAGAATATTGTAGAACATTATTTGCCTATGAAGGTACTAATGAAGATGAACTTACTTTTAAAGAGGGAGAGATAATCCATTTGATAAATAAGGTAAGATATTTCTCAGTTTTTCACTGAATCATTTAATTTATTCATAGAAATATTTCTGTCTTCCTACACTCCCCCTAGAATGTAAGTAAGCTCTAGAAGAGCTGGGACTTGGTCTTGTTTGTTTCTGTGTCCTGAGAACTTGGCACATAGTAAGTACTCAGAAAGTTTTTTTCTTTTCCCGAGGAAACTTTTATTTTCTATCTTAGTTATAATTGATATATTGGGAATCATTATGTGTTATTTTTTTAGCTTCCCCAGGTGTCAATTCTCACTTCCTGTTCTACCTCATTCTATTTTTTCCCACCTAATGCATATTGTATTGTTTATAATATAAAAATAAAAATAAGGAAACAATTTAAATGTTCATCAATATCTAAATGGTTATGAAATTTCATACTGTGGAAAATGGTGCAGCTATTTACAAGAATGAGGTAGTTTTATAACTTGGAATGAATTAAGGCAAAATGAATTAAAGGAAAAAGAAAAAACCCAGAAATATTGGGGTATGGGCGAAAGCCTATAATTACTATTTGTAATACAGGAATATTTATAAATATTTTGTTTTTGCAATAACCCTATAGAATAATTTTTAAAAATTTCCCATTGTTTTAAATGAACTGTCAGATGGTTCAGTGTATGTAATTTTTAATACACCGTTTGGACTGATAACACATAATTTCTTAGGAAGTATGGTATTTGGAAGAAATTGTAGCGGATCCTGTTAATTTCTAAAGCAAATGAATAATGTGATTAATTTTTAGCATGTAAAATATTGAGAAGAATGTTAAGGAAGATAGTTTGGAAATTCATATTCTCTTTCCACCCTCCTCTCCCACTTCCTTTCCTTTCTCCTTTCCCTCTGAGAACTTTTTATCCTTATAAACTGAATTTTAAAATTATTTGAATTATTAAAAAAAACCTTATTTTATAACTAGTGCTAGAAGTAATATGTGAGGAATATTTTCTTTTAGGAGGACCTAATTATCATTTTAGGTCTTTTTTTTTTTTCTTGTAAAAATAATGGAATTTAGTAGTTTCCTATTTTATAAATTTTTTCCTTATTTAAAGATAACCCCTGTTATCTTAATTATTCGTCATTTTGCATTTTAGGAGACTGGAGAAGCTGGCTGGTGGAAGGGTGAACTTAATGGTAAAGAAGGAGTATTTCCAGACAATTTTGCTGTTCAGATAAATGAACTAGATAAGGACTTTCCAGTAAGCTTTTATTTTTCAATGATAATAATAGTTTAAAGAAACTTTTGCCAATATTTCTTTAAAAACAGGGGTTTTACATTGTTACTGAATAATTCTATGAGGGTGTTTTAGATTTATTTAGGTAAAAGCTACTTGAATTATAGTAAAACAAAACAATATTTCAGTTCTATGCTTTTTTCCTGATTTTCTTTACCCACTGACTGTATTGATGAGTAACTTTAGACTTCATTACTTTATTATAATTAAAAGAAAAAAGGCTGCCCATACTATTTTTATTGAAAATATTTTAAGGAATATTGATCTTACTGTTATCCTGTCAATGTATTTTTGGGAGGGTATAGGATTTAATATCTCTCTCTCTCTCACTTTTCACAGCGAATAAAGTGAGGCTTGAGTCATTCATCACTGACCTTTTGCTTTAGTACTACTTGATCCCTTCTTTCCCCCCATAGAGGGGTGGATCTAATTGAGTTTTTAAAATATGGAGAGGGAAAGAGAGTTGGACAGAGAACAGACACACAGCAAGGCAGTTCACCATATTTGATTTAAGCCAATGCAGAAATCTCTAACTTTTTTAGTCTTTAGTTAAGTAAATTACTAAAGGTTACTCTGTGGAGGCTTACACTATTGGAGGCCCTTCCCTTTGCTAGATTTGATTCAGGATTGATTCAACCTTCAGTGGGCTTTATTTTTAAACTTAACGAACACATTCTTTTTTTTTTTTGTCTTTTATTAGATATTTATACAGTATTATTGATTATCAGCTATTTTTAATATGCAAAAACCAAAGTCATTTACTTAGAAATATGTCTCAAATTTTTGAAGGCATTAAATGAGGTCTTAAAAATAAGTGAATGCTTATAAATCTAAGAAAATTTGAATAAATTAAGGAAAACCAGACTTTTGCCTTTAATCTTCTCTTTGAGAGTTTTGAAGAGTCAAGAATGAAAGCTAGATATATTTATTAGTTATTATTATTATTTTTTTAAACAAAGCCTTTTTCTTGCTCTTTGCCTGTCACCTCTCCCTTCCCACCAAACTCAGCTGTTAAAAGAGTGTAAAATGGTGCCTAGGAATCTTATATTAGGGGAGACAAGACAGAAGTTTTGCTCATTAAGAATTTATAGGTTTACCTAACAGTGATAAGTTTTGAAATATTTGAATTTTGATCAAGGAGGTATTTGTTCTAATCGGATAAATTTTTTGTCAGTGACCTTCTGTGGAGTTATTAGGATCTTATTTTATAGTTTTTGGCAGGGATGGGATGAGGAGAGATGTTCCTATGTATAATTTTGATTATTAATGATCAGAATTTATTTTAACTATTTAATATGCAAATTTTCAACTGTTTTCACCATTATTATTTTAATAGAAACCAAAGAAACCACCACCTCCTGCTAAGGGTCCAGGTATGTAACAAATACATTACTCAGTTTGCTGGTTTTCATATTTTTAAGTTCTAACATGGTGAGATTGGGTCTTACGTAAATCATTTTTATTGCCAAAAAAAAAATGTATGTGCTATATGCAGATTTTTAGAAATACAAAAATTGATTGTTCCTATACATTAATATGTCAGTATTTTTTTAAAGTACAAACTATATAAAATAGAAATCTTGAAAATAATTTGGATACTTTAGTTATATGCCATTTTGAGTTAAGAAAATTGATTAAGGGGCCGGCCGAGTGGCTCAGTTGGTTAAGAGCTTGCTCAAGAGTTTGAGCTCTGAGCAACAGCGGTTTGATTCCCAGCCCGAGCTGAGCTGCCGCTGAGCTGCCAACAGGTGGCAGGATGGCTCAGCTAAAAAAAAAAAAAAATAAAATGGTTTCTTAAAAAAGAAAAAAAAATTGATTAAGTTTAAATATGCTTAGAAAACGTGATATATTTACCTGGCCAGTTATTCTATCTTTTCAGGTGAAATCCTCTTGTTAATGTCTGAAACAAATAGCTGATTATTTATATACTCTTCCTTCAGAGTGTGTGCTGGGGATTAAACAAATTAGAAGAATTAATTTTTTTTAAACAGTTGAATTAAACAAATTTAGAAGAGCTTTCCAGAGTTAATGTTTTATAATCTGGTTCTTGTCATTTCTGTAAGCTCTAGACTTAAATTTCTGATTTTTACAAATACTGTGAAATCGTTTTCTTGAAAGATTTGCTCTTTTTAAAAATAATGTAAGTTCTCCTCTCTGCCATGGTTTCAGCTTTGTGTTTTCTGACCTAATCCCTGAACAAGGAAAGCACAAGTAAAAAGTAATGGAGCTTTTAAAATTAATTAAAATAAAACTTTTAATTCCACAATTGCAGCATTTCAAGTCTCAAAGTCAGTATTTGGACAGCACAAAACCCGAATATTTCCATCATCACAGATAGTTCTACTGGACAGTGGTGGTGTAGAGGATCGGAATCCCTTCATTTGACAAAGAAGGAACTGAGATTGCAGAGTTATTATTTACTTAGGGTAATAGTGACAGGTGCAGGATTAGATATTGGCCCTAGTGATTCTGATGCATTTTTTTTTCTGTTAAACCATGTTTTCATCTGATATTTTTATTTATTTATTTTTTAAAGATTTTTATTGGGGAATTGGGGGATGGGAACAGCGCTGGAGATTTGGAGGAAGGGGAACAGACAAGTTGCTGTCCTTTTGTTCTTCAGTCTAGTTGTGGAGGATGTTGCTTCAGTGGCCCAAGTTGGTACCATCATTGCACTCTTACCGGGCGAGGCAGATCAGTCGCCGGCTTCTGGACTGCCGCTCTTGCTGGCTGCTGGCTACACACGGTAGCCCATGGCAACCCACTGCAGCAGGGGCTGCAGCCTACGCCGTTGCCGGCAACTCATGGCAGCCCAGCTCCAGGTTGAGCTGTTGTTCAGCATCTTAGCTGTGGAGGGCAGTGTCACTGGCCCTCATAT